GAGGGACATTTCAATTTTTGGTAGGATTTTATTAACTAAGATGGACAGTCTTTCCAGATTTATTTATCCAGCTTATTCCCTTCCTATATCAACCAAATGATAAAGGCTATTAATACTTTAAATTTTAATTACATTTGGAGGAAACAAAAATCACTATATACGTAAAGATGACCTGATTAAAACTTACGAAGACGGTGGAGGGAATTTTTTTTTTTTTCATTTAGCCTTTATTTATCCAGGTTAGTCTCATTGAGCCACGATAACTCATTTTCAAGAGAGACCTGTTTAGGGAGCACATGGTGGAATGCAATAGACTTTGAAATTATGAACGGTACCGTAAAACTTAAATGGCTAAAAAAAAATTCTAAATAATAATCTCTCAGTTTGGTCATATATACCCAATTTGGTGTTTAATAAGATAGGGGGACTTCCTTTTCTCTTACAATGTGATTTTGAATTTAGCAGATTGCCTGTGAAACTTTCAGATTTTCATAAACAGGTTCTTATTTACTGGAAACTCATTTTCAGTCATAATTTCACACCACACATTACACCAGTGTGGAACAATAGGTACATTGTGATTAATAAAAAAAATCTATATTTATTGAGGAATGGTGTTCTAAAGACGTGTGGGCCGTGGCCCATTTTATGGACAACGAAGGAAACATTTTACAATATCAAGAATTCTGTAAACAATTTCAAATCCATTGTGATGAGATTAAATATAACCAAATTTTAAAGGCTGTTCCATTCTCTCTTAGGGCTATTGTGAGACAAGATATTATATTTTCTGATATTTCCCCTGGTCTGAAACAACTCTGTATTGATGGAGTTGCTTTCTCCGACTATCAATGTAACAATAAATGTTTGAGAAACAAACTACCATACCATACCACACCATTTTATTTATAGAGCACTTAAAACAGCTACAAGGCCAACCAATGTGCTGTACAGACAGAACAACAGGCAACACACAAAGCAATATACAAAATGAATTAAATCAGAAATATAGATATAAAAACAATGCAGATAATAAATATGACGACAAACCAGTGTGGAGCGTACAGGATCAAAACACAGATCCTCTTGTGTTGAATGCTACTGAATAGTAGTGTGTTTTTAAACAGGATTTGAAAACCGAGAGGGATGGGGCCTGCCTGACAAGCAGAGGTAACTCGCTCCAGAGTCTTGGTCCTGCTACAGAGAAGGAAGGCCCTGTCACCTCTGCGCTTAAGATGAGTTCCTGGAACTGTGAGGAGCAACTGGTCCGCTGACCTCAGGGAATGTGGAGGGACATACGGTTGTAGCAGATCAGATAGATTAGGGGGGGGGGGGGGGGGCTGTTCAGCTATTTGTAGACATACAGGAGTATTTTGAACTGGACTCGAAGGTGAACCGGTAGCCAGTGCAGTGAGGCAAAAACTGGTGTAATGTGCTCTCTTTTGCCTGTACTGGTTAAAAATCGGGCTGCTGCATTCTGGACCAGTTGTAGTCGTGCAATGGAGGTTTGACTGATACCAAACAGGAGCGAATTGCAGTAATCAAGCCTAGATGTAATGAATGCATGTATTACTGTCTTCAGGTTATTTTTGGACAATATGGGCTTCAGTTTAGACAGCCGCCTCAGTTGGAAGAAACATGATTTAACAATCATGTTTACATGACTGTTAAGTTTCAGGGAAGGGTCCATTATCACTCTCAGATTAGTGACTCTTTGTTTTTCTGACAGGGTTAGAGTGGAAAAGTCGATGCAGTGGTTTGTGATTGTGTCATTGAGAGGGAACAACATGACTTCAGACTTCTTTTTATTGAAACTTAAGAAGTTTAAAGCCATCCAGTCCCTGATGTCAGCCAGGCAGTCGAGCAGAGGTTGAATAGAGCATGTACCATTGTGTCTTAGGGGGAAGTAAATTTGACAGTCATCAGCATAGAAGTGAAAGGGCATGTTGTGTTTCCGAAAAATAGCACCAAGTGGCAGCAGGTATAAAGATAATAGGATGGGACCCAGGATGGACCCCTGCGGAACCCCCCGTTTAAGCTCTGTCGCTGCAGAACTAAAATCCTTGATGGAGACACAAAAGGATCGGTCAGCGAGGTAGGATCTGAACCAATTGAGGGCTGAACCTGTGATGCCCACCCACTGCTCCAACCTAGCAATGAGCAGCTCATGGTCGATGGTGTCAAAAGCGGATGTAAGATCCAATAGAACAAGCAGCACAGAATCACAAGTATCTGTAGATAAGAAGATGTCATTAAAGACCTTCAGCAGGGCAGTTTCAGTGCTGTGGAGAGGTTTAAAGCCAGATTGGAATAGCTCTAAGATGGCATGATCCTCCAGGAAGCACTTCAACTGGGACTCGACTATTTTCTCCAGTAGTTTAGAAACAAATGTGAGTCTGAAGACAGGCCAGTAGTTGGAAACGACTGAGGGGTCAAGGTTTGTTTTTTTCAGGAGAGGCTGGACAGCAGCATGTTTAAAGGTTTTTGGCACCACACCAGTGGATAAACTATTGTTTACTATGGCAAGAATGGACGGACCTAGAGTAGGAAAAACCTCCTTTAGTAGTCGAGGGGGGACCACATCAAAGGGGGAACCAGAAGGTTTCAAGCTGCACATGACCTGCTCTAGAGAAGATACAGTGATGGGTTCAAAATGGTCAAATAGAGCTACAGATTGAGGTGGGATGGATGTGTCATGAGTTGGAGGGGAAATGAGAGCCCGGGTGGTTGCAATTTTTTCCAAAAAGACATGTAGAAAGTTGTCGCACAGCTCAGTCGAGGCTTCCAGAAGTGATGGTTCAGTGAGGTGGAGAACAGAGTTTAGGGTGGAGAAGAGGACATGTGGGTTGTGAGAGTTTGAGGTAATTATATCAGAGAAGTATTTGGATTTAGCAGCTTTTACTGTTTTCTGATAACGGCGCCAACTCTCTTTAAGTATTTGAAGAGACCTGCAGCCTGTCTTTCCTCCATTTGCGCTCTGCCCTCCTACATTGCTGCCTAACGGCCTTGGTGACGTCACTCAGCCAAGGTTCTGCTCTGAGTTTTGATTTTTTGGTTTTAAGAGGTGCAACGTGATCCAGAGTCTTTAAGCAGACAGAGTTGAACTGGGATGTCAGCTCCTCGGTGGTGGTGAGAAACACCGGGGGCTGAATGATCATTTCAGAGTTATAAGCATCTGTGAAACATGCAGCTGTGAAGTGGTTAATGGTCCGGCTGCGACGTGCAAGAATGCACGGCTTAGTAGTTAGATGGGGGAGGGTGAACTCAAACCGGACTGGCATGTGGTCTGAAAAAACATTATCACCAATTTCAAGATTACAAACAGTCACATCATGAGTTAAAACAAGGTCCAGTGTATGTCCGCGCTCTTGGGTGGGACAGTTTACATGCTGAGTTAGATTAAATGAGTCCAATAAATCTAAAAAGTCCTTAACCAAGGGCTTCTCAGGACAGCACACGTGCAAATTAAGGTCCCCAATAATGAAAACATGCTCATATTTTGGTGTGATTTCAGCCAAGAAATCAGAAAACTCATTTATGAAATCCTTAGATCGAGGTGGGCGGTGGCCGAGTTCAAAGACGCTCATTTCAAAGCTGGCGTGGGAAACTGGGATGGGCAGTTGTTTACAGTCAAAAGTTGATTTGAATATTGTTAATAATCCACCACCGTGCCGGCCTGATGGCCGCGGGGCGTTACAATACAAACAGTTCGGTGGCAATAATTCCGTCAAGGCGCTTGACTCACCCGGAGACATCCAAGTCTCTGTGATGCAGAAAAAGTCCAACTCGTGCTCTTGAAAGTAGTCCCTGAGGTTAAATGTTTTGTTGGTAACAGATCTTCCGTTGACCAAACATATCCGGATACTGTCCAAAGTGGACCCAGCAGCGGTAGAGTTAGCGCGCGCCAATGGCCACAGGTTTTCCATAACAGCCCCTCCGGGCCAGACAGTGCTACGCACCGGCCGACAACTCCCGTTGTTTACCTGGTCCGGGCACGCGGGAAGCTGGCGATGGAAACCATGACCACCAGAGGTACACTCATATTGGTCCAAAAAAAACGACATCAGCGGCAGAAAATTGAAGATTCTGAAGCTGTTGTCGGTCATACACCAGCAGCAAGTTTATGTCCCAGATAAAATACGAACAAAACACAAATAATCCGAACACCATCGTGGATTGCAAGCCATGTACACGGGAGCCATCTTACCGGAAGTCTACGGCATCACTATTCTCCTAACTTAGTTAGGAGAGAATATATTCTGAAGGACTTTAGTAAAGAAGACATCAAAAAGATCAGAACTAATTTTATATCATTTCCGGTCCCTCCTAAAGCCAAAGAAATTCAATTTAAAATCTTAAATACAATTTATCCTACTAAGGAATTTCTAAGGACAAAATTTAAAATGGACACTTGGAATTGTGTTTTCTGTGAGACAGAGAATGAGAACCTGGAACATCTTTTTTTGATTGCATGATAGTTCAGCAATTTTGGCTTGATTTTAAAATGTGGATCCAATCCAAAGGGATTCAGCTACTTACCCTCACTTTAAAAAAAATCAAATTTGGGTTAATTAATAAGATTGGAAATAATGAATATGCTATCAATAATTTGATTATATTAGTTAAACATTATGTTCATAAATGTCGTTTTTTCAAATGTAAACCTAATGTGAACCACTGGAAGAATGAGCTAAAGTCCTAAGCAAAATCTTTAAAATATGTAAATGAAAAAATGCTGACAAATTTCTTAGTTTCTTGGTTAATTTCATTTTCCTTATAAAATGCCCTTTTTTTTTTTTTTTTTTTACTTTTTTATTTATTTTATTTCCATTATGTTATGAATCACCTTTTGTAACTTTCGAGTTTAAGAATTGGTACTTTTTGTTTTGTATTGTTATGGTTAAATAAAGTAAAAAAAATAAGCTTTTTTACCCTGACCCATCAGCGTCGATTGGAAAAAAGAAGAAGAAGAAGAAGAAGCAGCAACAAGAGCACCTCAGTTAATAAAGCAGATTTTATTTGAATAAAAACTTGACAGCAGCTGACAGGTGGTCCTCACAGAGGACGGGGCTCCTGCAGGTTTACCAGGTCTGATGGGTCCGGATGCTCTTCAGCCTGAAAAACAGACAAACATAGAAAAGATCTGTACACACTCTAAACAAAGTCCAAATACAGAAACTTTTCAGTATAAAAGAGGAATTATAAATACTGTAAAAAGACCAAGAAGACTTTAAATTGGCTTTAATTTTTATAAAAACACCTCCTAAAGATGAGAAATACTTTCATTACATTTCTTGTTAAACACTTGAACAATAAATTTCCACTTCTTCTCTTCTCTTTTTAACCGTTAGCTGAACACCTGGCAGACAAAAGCTTTCCAAGTTGGTTTAAAGTGTTCAGTCATAACAAATGTTTATATTTATTCAGTTCTGTATCAAGGTCATGTAATGTGGAGGCACACATTTTGTTCAAACTGTAAACGGTTTTAAAGTTATTCTAGAGACGCACCAATTCTGATTTTGTGGGATGATTTTTCAGATTAGTGCAGCTCCGACTAGTTGAAACAGATTTCTCCAACCCTAGCTTAATAAAGGGTGATGACAACAGTGGACAACAAAGACAACAGTAGAGAGTCATAAAGGATGCGTACAAATTGAGAATAACAAGTGAAAATAAAATGGTATTTTAAAAAAAAGTAACCAAAAAAACAACTAGGTTTTCAGCAGTCAGCATTCACGCTGCATTTTAAAACTAAATAAAATTTCTCTAATAACTTTTGGATGGATCCACATACCCCTGCCTCAACAATGCAGCTTGAAATGAACAGATGAAATGTGATGTGACCGTTCAGACTGAGAAAAACATCAGATATGGATCTGATTTAGTACCACAAATGAAAAAAGGCCTGATTGGATTTTTTTTTAATTTTCACATTAAGACTGACAAAAACAGATCAGGTCTCTCTTGTAAATGAGTCCCCGAGGCTCAGTGGGATTAACCTGTATGAATGAAGGTTGAATGAATGAATGATTTTGTTGAATGCTGCTTAAAAAGCTATAAAGTTTACTTGAAATTCATCAATAGCAAATTTTGAAAGATGAAGCTGCAAGGAGCACCTTCGACCTCGTAGTCAAAAGACCACGAGGAGAGAAACGTGTCAGCAGACAGAGGGAGAAGAGGAAAGTCAAGAATGTGGGAATGAGGGTGGTTTCTCTAAATGTGGGGACAATGACAGGCAAAGGTAGAGAGCATCAAGAAGAAGCTGCAAGGAACACAAAAAGCAAAAACAACCAGAAAAAATATCTACAAATGCAAAAAAAAAAAAAAAAGCCTGTTTAAATTAGGTTTTAAAAGCTAACACATACAGAAAAGCAGTAATTTGCAAAAAAGAAGCTAAAGTAGTTTGAATAAAGTAAAAAAAGCTACTCGTAGGTAAAAACAAAATTTGCTAACTCTGCTAACACTGTCTCTGTGAGACAGAGAAAGAACCTGGAACATCTTTTTTTGATTGCATGATAGTTCAGCAATTTTGGCTTGATTTTAAAATGTGGATCCAATCCAAAGGGATTCAGCTACTTACCCTCACTTTAAAAGAAATCAAATTTGGGTTAATTAATAAGATTGGAAATAATGAATATGCTACGACATTTATGAACATAATGTTTAACTAATATAATCAAATTATTGTCGTTTTTTCAAATGTAAACCTAATGTGAACCACTGGAAGAATGAGCTAAAGTCCTAAGCAAAATCTTTAAAAAATGTAAATGAAAAAATGCTGACAAATTTCTTAGTTTCTTGGTTAATTTCAATTTCCTTATATAATGCCTTTTTTTATACTTTTTAATTTCTTTTATTTCCATTATGTTATGAATCACCTTTTGTAACTTTCGAGTGTAAGAATTGGTACTTTTTGTTTTGTATTGTTATGGTTATATAGTTGATACCAAATTTGGATCCTCTTCATCCCCTACAAATCGTAGGAGCAGCTGTGGAGGTGGTCTCCTGCTACAGGTACCTGGGGGTGCAGTGACCTCACCTGGAGAGCCAACACTTCCTGTCTGATCAAAAAGGCCAACCAGCATCTCTACTTCCTCAGGAAGCTGCGGAGAGCTGGACTTGGGAGCTCTGTCCTGAAGAGCTTCTATCGCTGTGTGGTGGAGAACGTTTTCTGCAACTACATCACCGTTTCAATTCAATTCAAATTCAATTCAAATTCCAATATACTTTATTAATCCCAAAGGGAAATTATTTGTTGTAACTCGTTATCCTCATTTCATTAAGAGATGTTATAGATGCTGATGGCTGTAGGCTGGAAGGATCTCTTGTAAAGGTTCATCCCACAGTGGATCCTAAGAAACTGGCTGCAGATGCCGTCCGATCCGTCCACCCAGACTCTGCTGGCCTCTCGGTTCTCCCAGGCTGTAGGACTGCCCGAATGCCGGGCAGAACTCCTCCCAGAGCGATGGCCACTCCTCCCAGCAGTCTGCCGAGCTCCTCGTCACTGCAGACAGCCAACTGTAGGTGCCGAGGGACAATCCTGTCCTTCCGCTGTCATGAGCCGTGTTTCCTGCTAGTTCCAGGATCTCAGTGGTCAGGCACTCGAGCACAGCTGGCAGGTAGATGAGAATGTGTCCACAGAACATCCTTTTCAACTCATTTGAGATGTGGGGCTGTAGTTGAGATGTTATTTGAGCTTTTGAGATGTTAATTAGCTGCTGTTGGTTGTAGAAAACTGACTTGTTGCCATGGTTACGCATCATAACAAATGTCCAAAACTAAAAAAGTTTCAGTAAAAATCCTTCCAGCTGCACAGCATCTGATACCAGAGGAAACAATCATCCAAAAAATGTGATTTACATCCAGAAAACCAGGAAATAAAGTTGCCAAAAGCAAAATCTTAGAATGGTCTAGTTTGGCACGGCAGCTGCACTGCTGCTGAGACGATGGCTCTGCAGGCTGCACAGAAGACTGTGGAGAGCAGCCTTCACATCTACTCATCTTCCCATCCCATCTACCTCTGCACATCACGATGCAGGGGGAGGGCGCTCCACATAATCAAGGACTCCACTCATCCTGCACACAGTCTGTTCCAGCCCCTCCCCTCAACAGGCGGCTGAAGAGCATTCAGAGCAAGAAACCAGGCTCAGAAACAGTTTCTTCCCTGCAGCTGTCAGACTGCTGAACTCGAGCTGCACTTAATTCAGCTTCATCTTATATTTTTAACTTTATTTATTAATTGTTAGACTTCTTGATCTGGGACCTGAGACCAAATTTTGTACCATAAACATGCAAATGTGAGCTGGTATGACAATAAAAAAATCCTTGAATCCTTTTTAGATAATCTTTCTGTTTGTACAGTTTGCAAAACACGTAACTGTGTTATGTGCTGTGTTAAGCACTCACACAAATATTGTCAGTGTTTCCCCTACCATTATTCAAGGAGGGCACCCCACCCTGTCAACAGAATTGAGCGCCCCGCCTACCAAATCCTCCACCCCTCACACTTCCGTTTGTGCAGCAGAAATTAGCAGCTCAGCTCAGACTCCAGAGCTTCCCCTACCGTTACACAAGGTATAACTCCATCTTGTCAACAGAATCGAGCTCCCTGCCTACTAAAATATCCTTCACCCATAACCCACTGTCAGCAACTGCCAGTACTGACATAGCGCTAAGCTAGCAGTGCGCAATACAGACAAGCTAGCTAAAAAGCTAATGACATAGCGCTCCCCTTCTCTCATGCAACCTCCACCACAAAAGTAGCACACACAACATAAACGTGTCTAAACCCCCACCCCCGTCGACAAAACTCTGCAAAGAGGTGAGCGTCCTGCCAAGGTACGTGACCTAGAGGAAACATTGGACTCCAAGTCACACCCAATACAAGCCCCCCCCCCCCCCCCAAAAAAAAACCACACCCTACCGTAATACCTACTACCATAGTGCTAAGCTTCCCTCTTCTCCCCGCGGTTGACACAAACCCCAAAGAGATGAGCACCCTCCCAATGCCAGTGAGCTAGGGGAAACACTGATCTGTAAACACAGCGTGCTGCGTGACTTCTGCGAGTCACCTCAGGGCTGTTAACTGTTCACACTGGATGGAGGTCCCGTTTAAATTATAATGTGAACAAACAGGAAAAAAAATTAGATAGAAAGAAAGCAAAAGGAATGAGCATTAAGACCTGCAATGTGAACTTTAGAGTTGAGTACCACACGTCAGCTGCTCCACTAACAGCTCAGCAGCTGAGTCTTACTGTGACCTCTAACCTTTTCAGCAGTTTGTCTGTTGACACCGAAGCATCATCTTCATCACTGTGTGACTCCTCCTCCTTCTTCTTTTTCTGCTGTTTGTGCTTCTTGGGTTTCTTTTTCTGCACACAAACAGAGACTCAGGACTGAGCTCAGAGGAAGCAGTTCTTCTCTGAAGATCTCAGGTTTTACCTTCTTGTCCTTCTTGTGTTTGTGCTTGTTGTGTTTTTTCTCCTTGCTCTTTTTGATGACCTGCTTCTTTCTGGGGGCGCAGACAGAGGTAGTGTCTCCTCTGCCTATACAGAGAAACGACAAGCAGTGATGTCAGCAGTGAGCAAAAGTTTTAATCCAGTCCACATTATCGCCTGCTACTAAAAGGCTAAAAGTAAATAATAATTTTGCCTGAGTCTGTTAACAAAATACTGTATGTCATGATCCACTGGACGAATTTTAACGCACCTTTCAAACAGTGATCATTTCTCCTACATCTACAACTGATTCACTTTTTGTCAACCTGATTCAAGATAACCACAACAGCTGAGCGACTTCAGCCAACACAAAAACTCAGCTCAGTCAGTTTTACAGACACTGAGCTAAACTTTAGTTTGGTAGTAGGGCGGCACGGTGGTGCAGTTGGTAGAGCTGTTGCCTCTCAGCGAGAAGGTCACCAGATCAAACCCCTGCCGGGGGCCTTTCTACGTGGAGTTTGCATGTTCTCTTCGTGCATGTGTGGGTTTTCTCCTGATACTCCAGTTTCCTCCCACAGACCAAAAACATGCATGTTAGACTGATTGGTAACTCTAAATTGTCCCTAGGTGTGTGTGAGAGAGTGAATGGTTGTTTGTCTCGTTTGTCTCTATGTGTCCCCCTGTGATGGACTTGCGACCCATCTAGGGTATACCTGCCTCTTGCACAGTTATGGCTGGATATGGGCACCAGTGACCCCCACGACCAGAAAAGGATTAAGCGAGTAAAATATAATGGATGGATGGATGGTAAGTATATGTGTATGTGTATGTTATGTTACGAATTTAATTAAAAGTTTAAAAACTATTTCAGTGTAAATATCTCATGTTACAACGTGGATGCCCTATAGACCAGTGCGGACTATATACATGTGCAAAAGCTTTTTCTTTTTAAATGTGGTGGGCGTGGCTTATATTCAGGTGCACTCAATAGTCCGTAAATTACAGTAATTTGAAAACATAACATTTGTCAGTACGTTGTGCATTTCTCTGACAGAAAACGGTGCCATCTGGGACCAACACTCACCGAGAGCTGATGAAGGAGGCGGCAGCTTCGGGCCAAACTCCTCCCCTTGCTGCGCAGACATCTGAGAGGAAGCTGCAGCTTCAGAGGTGGACAGGAGAGAAACGCTTCAGATCACAGTCACACAGAAACAGCCTGCAGTCAGATAATGAGACAGTCAGAGAACCTGTGTGGAGGTTGGACGTGTCGCCTGAGGAAGAGGAGGAGGAGGAGGAAGGGACAGTGAAGACGTCTGCTGCTTGCGACTCCATCTTTCCTTCCTCCTCCTTTACATCCGTTTTCTCATCCTCATCCTCACTTTCTCCTTCTGATGAAGAGGACTTCTCATCAGAAGAGCTGGCAAATATAGCTTTAAACAAGTCAATGGGAGGCCTGCTCTCCTCCTCCTCCTCTTCATCACGGTCTGTTTTTGTGTCTGAGCTCTGCAGACCCGCTGACTCCTCCTGCATGAAGATGCATCAGAGAATGTTGAACTGATCATCCTCACACGGTTCAACACCTGTTTCTGCTCACACACCTTCGCCTTGTTGGCAGGAGTTGTGTCACCGCTGCGGTTGGAGGCAGGTGCCTCAGGAGCAGAACCTTGGTCCGGTTTGGTTTCAGTCTGGTTCTGTGCAGCATTCAGCAGCTCACTCAGAGAATCGTCACTCTTCTTATCGTCCCTCTGTTCTGAAACATCCCACCTGGACTTCTTTCCCGACTCTGGAGGCTTCGGAGGTTCTGAAGACAAGAAAGACAAAACATTTCTCTTTGATCAAAGTCTCAGAAGATTCAGTAAATGTCTCCAATAAATGTCCTCCACTGCTTCAGGTCATGTTTGAAGCCTCTTTCTAATCTTGAACTTGAAGACAAACTGTTTTCAGGCCTGTTAAGGCCTCTGTGTCCCTCCTCCCACACAGACATGACATGGACAGGTGAGCCCAGACAGCTTTGGTCACCTCCTTGTGTGGGACGCTGGACAGGGGGAGCAACATCTGAGCCAGTCCTGCACAAATCAGGATTGTTGAAAACACGGTTTTCTCCCCTCTTTCATTTTTACAGATGAAGAAAATCTGTTGCGGTGACTAAACATTAATTCAGGTCTATTTCACTTGGTTGTCCACCGGAGCACCTCGAGGAGAGAGCTCAGTGTCCGAGAAAAAACAGGTTGTCTGGGACAACCGCTTAAGTATTACAGAAATAAATTAAAAAAATTTTAAAGTGCTTTCTTTATTTAATTTGACCCAAACATCTCTGAATGTAAAAATATGCTGTGTATGAATGTGATAAAGCTCTGATTATTCTTTGTACATAAAGAGTAAGAGTGCTGTATGAATAGGTAATTGAGGCACAGACTGTAGTGTAAAGAGCTTTGAGTGTCTTGATTAGATAGAAAGGTGCTACAGTATACAAGTACAGTCCATTTACCATCACATGTGGTTTTTGTCTTTCCTCCTATAAAAAGTATTGGTACATCTGGACCTGTCATTCTGTGTTTGCATCTCCTTCCTGTTTTAAACCCAGTCGGTCGAAGCAGATGGTCGTTCATCCTGAGCCTGGTTCTGCTGGAGGTTCTTCCTGTTAAAAGGTTTTTTCTTTCCACGGTCTCCTTTGTGCTTGCTCAGGATGGGAGACTGTGACAAAGTGAAGACTCAACACAATCTGCTGCTTCCTTGGATAGAGAACTTTATTAATTGTCTTTTTAATGTATGTGAATGTTACTGTTCAGTGCCCTGAGACAGCTTCTGTTGTGACATGGCGCTACATACACGTAAATAAACTGAATTGACTTTAGCATTTACTTTAGTTCTCTGGTGTGACTCGTGCATCAGTGCGGTAGTGTTTTCTCTTGGCTTGGATTGTTGCAGGTTCTGTTTGGTTTTGATGTAGTGGCTGTTGTGGCCCTTTCTTTCTTTGGGTATTCTTTAGTTGTTTTATTGTCATTATTACTGAAAATGTTATCGTTAATCACTATTTATAGCTTTACTTCCACTATTACCATTACTGTCAACAATACTGTTTTTAACTATATTAAAATTTCCATTCCATAATTCAACAAAACCAGTCTTCTTAATTAAATACATTTTTGTTTCTTTGTTTTGTTTTCCTTCAACATTTTTATTTTACTGTAAATATTCCCACTATATGCAATTAATAAAATATATTGTAGTTTGTCTCACATAAAATTATGTAGAAACATAAAAATGAACTTATGTGACTACTTTTGCCTTCTGCCACTCACGAGTGAAGAATTAATTTTTGATCTAACTTAAGTTTGCACAGATTGACTGTCAGCCGAAAGACATCCCTTTTCTCCTTTCAGAGTCAGAGTTTCTTTATTGTCATTCGCACCTCATGTGGTACATGTGGTGGAGCGAAATTATGTACACAAGGTCCCAGTTACATCCAACAATAAAATGTATAAGAAAAACAGTAATAACATCTAAGATATGAACTAAGAAAAACATCAACTAAATGTACACTAAGCACTCATAACATAAAAACATTGAACATCAGCACAAACATGAACATGAGTCTGTGAGCAGATGTGCACGCATGAACACATCAACATTGAAACAGATCAGCAGCAACATGAAACAGATCAGTAGCAACATGAAACAGATCAGCAGCAACATGAAACAGATCAGCAGCAACATGAAACAGATCAGCAGCAACATGATGTGATTTTTCGCAGTGATTATTCTAGTTAGAGATTCATGAGTCTAACAGCCTCAGGGTAGAAGCTGTTCCTCAGTCTAGTGGTTCTACACTTAATGCTCCTTAACCTCCTTCCTGAGGGGAGTGGGGCAAAAAGTGTGTGTGCTGGGTGAGTGAGGTCCTTCATGATGCAGGTGGCCCTCTTCCTGCATCTGGAGGTGTAGATGTCTGTGATGGTGGGGAGGCTGACTCCAACATCTTCTGTGCAGCCTTCACCACTCTCTGCAAAGCTTTTCTTTCTGCAGCTGTGCAGCCTCCATGCCACACATTGATGCTCGAGCACAGGATGCTCTCCACTGCACACCTGTAGAAGGAGGTGAGGACTGAGCTTCACAGACCAGCTCGCCTCAGCCGTCTGAGGAAGTAGAGTCTCTGATGAGCTTTCTTGATCAGGCTGGTGGTGTTGTTGCTCCAGCTGAGGTTGTCATTCATGTGTACACCCAAGTACTTGTAGCTGGAGACCACTTCCACCGCAGATCCTCTTATGTTCAGGGGGGTGTAGATGTTTTTGTTCCTTCTGAAGTCCACAATCATCTCCTTTGTCTTCTTCACATCGATGTGAAGGTTATTCTCTTTGCACCAGCTCTCCAGGTGTAAAAGCGGTTAACATTTTACCAGTGTTATATGTGAAAAGTTACGTTTACACAGTAATACTGCATTTGTTAAATCTGCTGTAGTTTCCACACCCGGTCACTAGTCGGTGCTGCGATTTTTGTTTTTCAACGATGCGTAGGCAGTTCAGTGTTGGTCACATCCAAAATGGAGAATACACAAATGTATGTGTGGACCTAGAATGAGGTTGGGTTGCTCCTAAATGTTGCGAAAAGTGAGTAGCACAAAGAGCAGTCTGCTATCTGCTCTTATTATTGTTAATTTACTCACACAGAAAAACTACTGACAGCAGCTGTTTGTAGTGCGCATGTTTGTTTCACATCGATGCCAGGTGTTTCCAAAAACATCCACTCTGACATCTGGATTCAAAAAGCTTTGGCATCAGAGACAGCCACTGGAGCTGTGTACACAAAAGGCCAAAACGCAAACGATTACACTTCAACATGGCATTGTGTAAACAGCCCAAGTTTCTGTCATGGCTGCCCCCACAGATCCTGTAAAACTTAAGAATATAAAAAAAGAAGACAAACCACCTTGTATCAGAGATGACATCAGCAGAAACTCAGAAATGCATTAGAAGGAACTTCACATCAGACCAAGACATTTGTGTGCAACTGACCCGGCTCTTGAGTGAACCCACCTGCTGTCTCTCGGCTCTCCATTGTCAAGAAGTTAAAGACTGAAAACTTGTCCCTCCTCACCTTGGGCAGACCCACCACACTTGACCTGCATGACCAATCAGAGTTTAGCTCACATGGGTAAGACAAAAATCCCTGACGACTGAGCTGAGTTTGATCTGGACTTGTGTGGATCGTACCCGGGGTACGGGTTGGGAACATTGAACCTCTTGCACAGCAATTTGTCAGGATGCCACTCAAACGTTTCTCTGGTTAGTTTTCCAAATATTTTCATCTTCACAGCTGTCTGTTTGTCCTCCACATCGCCCTGACAAACAAACAAACAAACAAAGGTTTACACCTGCCTGGCTGTTTAGGGAGAGGATTACATCATGATCCATGTCCTACCTCTTCGTCCCGGTTGACCTCCACGGTGTTCTCATCCTCCTGATGCTGGGCCCGAGTGAAGCGTGAAGACAGCGAGGAGGAGGTGGGTCTGTACAAGATGGAGGCTCGGACAAACTCCTCCCGCTCCCTGCTGCGCTCCCACTCTGTCATAGTCAGGTCCAAACTCTGTTCCAGAGCATCTGTGAAACAGATGGAGAAGTTTTAGACCTCCTCAAGACCGGGTACAGGCTCACCGCAGAAGGCGCTACATTGAAGTTCAGTCTGAAAGAGCAACCAGTAGACAAAATGTCCCAGAAACAAATTCAAATGATTTTAAGTAGGGATGCGCCGATCCACTTTTTCCACTTCCGATCCGATACCCACGGTTTGTTATCGGGCGATACCAATCCGATACCGACCTACAAACAAACAAACAAACAAACAAAAAAAAAAAACTGCTGAATTAACAAAAATGGCTAAATCATATCATCTGGATCCGTTTCTGAAACCGGTCTAGATGACATGATTTAGCCATTTTTGTTGTCTACCTGAATGTTTGAGCTTACAAACCCAGTGCCGAATTAACTTAAAACATTTGTTTTGTTAAATGCAATTCAATTCAATTTATTTATATAGCGCCAAATCACATTTCTACATTAATGTGTTTTTTTATTTGTGTTTTTTTTGTCTTTCCTGCTCGCCTGCATTCTGGACGTGTCATTCTGTGTCCGTTTTTCCTTCCTGTCCTCTCAAACCCAGCCGGTCAAAACAGATGGCTGCTCGATCTGAGCCTGGTTCTGCTTGAAGTTTTGTCTTGGTAAAAGGGAGTTTTTCCTTTCCACTGTCTCCTTTGTGCTTGCTCAGGTTGGGAGACCACAACAAAATGAGGACTCAATGCAATCTGCTGGCTACCTTAGATACACAAAGTTACTAATTGAATTTTTATGTATGTGAATGTTTCTCAGTGCCCCGAGACGACTTCTGTTGTGACTTGGTGCTATAGAAGTAAACTGAATTTTCAACCTGGAAGATGCTGCTGCTGTAAAATCCACTGCAGGAAGAAGGCCGTGAAGAGGAGCTGCAGCGTCTTACCCTTGTCTCCCTGTCGTAGTTGGCTCAGGTACAGTTCGTATCGTGCCTGCTTGCTGGGGTTCTTCTCAAATGGTTTGAAGGTTTGCAGTGAGGCGTGGCTCCCTCTCCACGCTGCCAGAGCCTCATGTTGCTGCTGCAGGCCGGCAGAGGGTGGAGTCACCCCCAGCGGAGAGGCACGCGTGGTGTTTGGAGGGTCTGGGGTGCTGTTTTTTTGAGTGGAAGAGTTTCGCATGCTGAGTAGACGCTGTCTGTCTTCAGGTCTCAGCAGCTCCATGACTGAACCGGGACCTGATCAAAGTTTAAACCATGAAACAATCTGAAACGAGCTTCAACTCAATATTACAGGAAAGCTACAGGATTAACAAGCCCACGATGAAGCAGTGAGAACACAACACACTCATTCATCACCTTTCAGGGAGTCTTCTCCCAACAGCGTCCTCCTCTGGCTGGAGTCCAGCTGGTGGCGTCCAACCTGCTGGGGCTCCTCTTTGATCATGTGACCCCTGGATGACTTCAGAGCCTCAGCCAGCACCGGACTGACTCCAGAAAGTCTAGAAACTTGGATTTGAGGACGGAAATTATGAACTGGACGATAATTGCTGGGCAGAGAGGGAGGAGGGAAGACCTACAGCAAGAGACAGATGAGAGTGAAGAGTTGTCCATCTACAGATGAGGAAACATCTGCAGACTCGGAGGCTTCTTACAGTTTTCTCCTCAGGAGGTTTCTGGGCCAGAGTGAACCCCTCTAGGATCTTACCGAGGTATGAAGCATCTTTGCTTCTATCTGAAGACAGAAATACAGCTTGAAGATCGGATGTGGACATTTTCCATTTACTTTTAACGAGTTTATTAAAAAACAAACGTGAAGGAACTGGTTTACAAAAGCTGCCATGTATTTTAGAAGTGGAGTCAGAACAGTAGAGGTGTGAGGCTTTAGGTCCCGCCTACTCCCCCACACACAATGAGGGTGTCACATGACTTTTCTTTTAGGAGTAAAATAACATTTTAGAGTTAAAAACATTAGAAAAATAATTTGGACATGCAGCAGAAAAGTACGAGCTACGTGAATCCACAGGAAAACATTACCTGAGGTTTGTTTTCATTTTTAACGAGGACAATTTTCAGCAATGTTAGTCACATGGAAGGAGGAGAGTCACAAACTGGAGCCAGCCGCCACAGCAGCTGGACTTCTGGTCTGAGGTCTACCTATATTTATGGTCTTTGCTGTTCCAAGGATTTTCCAGGTGTTTTCCAGGCTCCATTACCTCTCCTCTTGGTGTACTGGTGCGGAGCTGTCCAGCCGTACAGGCCATCTCCTGGTTCCTCTCCGCCCAGAACAGTGTCATATTTAGACATGGAGTCTCTGTGGTACACGTCCTCATCATCGTCCTCCAGCGCCCCCACACCAAAGGCCTGCAGGTCAAAGGTCACATCAAAACCCATACCTCTGTGTTTAAAAAACAGGCAAACTGTTAAACTCCCACCTGCCCAGCAACTCCTCCTCTTCTCAAGTTGATCTTTGTGTCTCCAAACAGATGACTCCTCATGTCAGACTGAGGCCTGAACAGGTCGATGTGTTCATCAGCACCGCGGCCCAGGAGGGCCCGACCTGGGTCTAGGCCGTGGTACCCAAGACCTTGGACTCCTGGCCTCGGGCTGAAGTCTACTGGAGTCACGTCCTTCGGAGCAAACGTCACGTTCTCTGGAGCAAACTCTTCATCGTAATTGTCCTGATGAAGCAGAAGGACGATCAGGAAGTAGAAAGTGAGGAAGTGAAAATCCATCCAGACATTAATAGACGGACAAAACATCTGCGCTGCCCCCCGTTGTTCAGAATCAAAGTCAAAATGTCTGTTTTGGGTGCGGTCGCATATTTTTGGAACCAGAAGCTGTGTACTAATAATGTGAAGCTGTACCCTTGATACGAAAGCCCCGCCTCCACACAGTCACAACTCGCTGAAAGGCTGCATGTCACTGAACGACAGCACACTTAATCAAACCTCCAATAATTAAGAAGTTAAACTGATGGGGGGCAAAAAGTGATGACTCAAAAATTTATTAACTTTATAAATATACAAAATGGTAAAAACAAATTAAAACTTGCAAAAATCAATTTAATACTATCATACAGTAGATTTAAATCCAGAGAAATTAATTACAGTAGACCCTCGCTACTTCGCGGTTCGTTTATCATGGACTCGGTCTATTGCGGTTTTTCAAAAAAAGATTGGACATGGCTGACTGATGAATGAGCCGCACGACCGGCATGGAATTTTTATTTAAAATAAATTATTAAAAATTATTTAGCACCTGCTGCACATTTCTGCAGCCCTTACTGCATGATAAACTTCCTGCTGCAGCTGATCAGCTGTTCTCCGTGCAGAGCGGAGAAGTGGGCGTGGCCAAAAGCGCTTGCAGATGGGCAAAGAGCAGAGGAGGCAGGGAGCTGAAATCATGGTATTCTGTGCTCTTTTAGAACGTTTAGAGTTTAAAAACATTGCTTAGAATATTGCAAGAGTGTGGGAAGGGTTTAAAACGCCTTTATTTAAAAATTACATTTATATGTATGTATATATATATATATATATATATATATATATATATATATATATATATATATATATACCATATGGTAAATGGACTGTACTTATATAGCGCCTTTCTATCTTATTTCAAGATACTCAAAGTGCTTCACACTACAATCTGTGTCCTCAATTACCCATTCATACAGCACTCTACTTGAGCTATACAAAGCTAATTGAACAAATCATTCTAATGAGACTAATCAGTGCTTTAGATCACATTCATATACTGATGGGACACACATGAGAGGCTATGAGGGGTTCAGTGTCTTGCCCAGGGACACTTCGACGTGTGACTGCTGGTGGATTCGAACCCCCAACTCTCGCATTGGAGGACGACTGCTCTAACCACTAAGCCACAGCCGCCCCACATACATACATACATACAGATCCTTCTAAAAAAATTAGCATATTGTGATAATTTTCCATAATGTAATGATAAAAATGAAACTTTCATATATTTCAGATT